GCATGTCAGAGAGCAAGATGTTTCCTTCCATAGCCTTCTGTCAAATCCAAGTTCAGAGAATTTGGTGATATTCTATATATAAAGTAACAGGAAATATTTTCTTTTTAAATCTCATGGTTCAGCTTCAGGCACGTGTGCTAAAAGGGTCACAAGGAACAGATTTAAAAACCAAAGTTTTTTGCAGATGTTTCTGGAGCACTCGTGTATAATAAAACAGCTATAGGGTAGGCAACAATCCCTGGTGTGAATCTGCACAGGGATCAGGCCTTGTCCTACTCTCTCCTACTATACTCCAGAAGAAATAAATACGATACTATGATCCGTTGGCTTCAGCTGGGGCTAGCAGGCTCCACGGAGTCAACTACCTGCGTACTCCTCTGGTTCCCATCCCAGGGCAAAACCAGCCTCTGTGCTCATTCCATGACTTAGGACAGACGTTCACCTACAAGTAAAAGGCTCGATTTTCATTAAAAATAAATAGATCTCAGGGTGAAGAAAAACTCAGTGTGTTTTCTTGCAGGTACGGGTACTTTTTGCATGAAAACCTGATGAACAGTTCGACAAACATGCCAGCCAAATTCAGGCAGCTCCTGAATTTCAATCATTTCACTCTCAAAGTCGGAGAAACTCGATTACAGAAACTTGATTACAGAATTACTCGATTACAGAAACTCTATTTCTCAGCAGGGGACTAAGCAACCACCACAGCAGTCCTGGTTTTGTGACTTTGGAGACTGAGCTGTTCTCTTTGCCCTATGCCCACCGATTTCATTTGCACACCAAGTGGCCGAGGTGTACAAACGCAGCACAGGTGAGGTCTCTACAAGGACAGCTTTGCTGGGACAGGAACAATTCGTGTCCATTCGTGTCTTCTACAGCGCAGCCGTGCTTGCAGACTCTTTTTGTAGCCACAAAGGAAAAGCGTCTCCTTTCTCCCTCCCTCTTCCTGCTACCGAAGCAAAACAAGCTGCATTGATAAACCTGCCAAATGGGACAGTTTAACAAGGGAGGGATCCACTTTATTTTTCAGGGACACTGGCAGGTTCCTCTTGCAAAGCCTGTAGCGTGGATCTGGTCGCTGGCTGTAGCCATTTTAAGGCTGCAATTCAGCAGAGCACATCAGGACATGGCAACTTCGTTAAACCCTATTTCAGCCAAATACCTCCACGTAGGTTTAACAGCAAACACTGGACTGAAACACCACCCTAAGTGCCTCACAGAATGCCCTGCACTACTTGTGAGTCTCCAGGCTCTGCAGGTAAAGGATCCCTGCCTCCAGAAAAGTCCATTTTGAAGAAGTTCCTTTCGGGCGTCTTGTATAGCAGCAGCGAGTCAGTCACTCAAACTCCAATTGCTGTCCTGAAAAAGCCTCGGCAGGAATGTAACAACTTGTTTTTCACTTTGAAAATGGGAGGTTCTCCACTGCAAGCCTGCAGCTGAAAACCTGCCCAACATCTGGCCTGGGATCAAGGTTTGCTTTGATGCTCTTACACGGGTGGACACATTTTGAGGTTAATACCGCCAACAAAAGCGGGAAGGATGGGGTCCCTCTTCCTTCCTCCTCTCACCCCCAGCGTAACTGCGGCAGCTGTGGTCCAGCAGAATGCACCAGGCTCTTGGAAAGACTCTGACATCCCCAGGAAAAGTCTCGAGCTTGGTGCAGCCCCATGGAAGGCTGCGTAGGACAGGCTGCCCCAGCCTGCACAACCCACAGGCAACCGCACGCATGCTTGCAGGTGGAGAGCATCTCTGCTCATCCAGGGACTAAACCTGACCCCTTCCAGGGTATGTGCTCTGATTTGCTTCCTAAGAATTAACAAGTACACCGTTTTGGCTTAAGGAAGCTTTCATCACATGAGAACCCCCACGCATGCAGAGCGAAGGTCCAGACATGCAAACTGCACTGCAAGGCAGATTTCTCTCTTCCAAACCTCAGTGAAATTCATGCATTCCTTCTAAATCCAGTTGTAAACCACTATCCTTAAGGCACTAAGACTGAATGCAAGTATTGATACCGCCAAAGAGTGAATCTGCATCTGTAAGGAGAATCAAATGTTTAAACAAGACCCCAGGTCATGGGGGGGGGGGGGGGG